ATATATATATATATATATATATATATATATATATATATATATACACATACATATAGTGATGTGAGCACTAATTTATAAACTTTTACATATTATGTTGTTATTTGAAAACATAAATACTGATAGCAGTGGGTAGCTGTAGCAATTTTAGTTCATTTGTGGTATGAATATAATTATTTTTGCTATAAATCTTGTATTGCAAATTTGACATTTGTGAAAAGGTTTATAAATGCTCCTGGCAGCTATGAAAATGGCAGCAAATCACTTCAGGCTTGGATAAGTTGTTAGTTCATCAATCTGGTCTCAATTAAACCCATTTTTTTCAGTCGGGTTGTTCAAAAAGCTATCCACATCAGGTAAGATATTAATTGCTCATAACCTTCAGGTGTGCCAAACTCGGTTGCAAAAGGGGGCCAAAATTTAAAACTGTTCAAACCAAGGATGGGGCTTTAGGCATAGGAACATTAACTCATGTCAGATACATGACGTCTCTTCTTGGTTGCAGGTTCATTCGATGTTCTCCGATTTTCTTTCCACATCAAAATCAAAGAGTACTGAAAATTTCAAACTAATGTTTCTCGACTTCAAAGTCGACCACCTGTCATGAGAAGTCTGCACTAAACAAAATGTGCTAGGTTTTTAGGTAAAATGAGAGATACATAAAATATTAAATTTAAAATATTATCTTGAGGGCCAGACAAGATGTTAACAAGGGCCACATTTGGCCCTCGAGCCTTAAGTTTGACACGTCTTTAAAGGAGCTCCTTTAGAACAAGTGGACTCTGTGGAGTTGTTGCGGCTCCTGCAGCGGCGTGATCAACCACAGACACAACTCTTTTCATGCACGCTCTCTTCTGTCGTCCACTTCTCATAAAAGCACAAGTTCAACCCAATAACTTGTTTCAGTTTTTTTAATTTTTATTAGTGTTAGTGAACACAAATAGTTTAAAGCCTTGATTGACTTACTGAACGGATTTGCTGCTGTTTGTAAGTAGATTTATTTGGTTCTGGCTGTCTTCCCCAAATCATGTTAGCAGCTCAGCTTTAAATAACACAGTTTCACACAAAGTTAGGACGTGGTGTAAAATGCTGATGTTAAACTCTTTTAAATCATAAAATTCATAAAAATAGCGCAAAAGCAATAAAATAATTGTTGAAAAGCATTTATGTTTTTTTGTCAATATCAATTTGGTGCAGAAAAAAATGAAAAGAGGCTCTAAAATAATAAATAAATTGCCAGTGTGAACATTTTCCAATTGATTGCACGAAGTAGATGCATTTAGAATAAAAACATCTTGAAGCTCTTTGAAGTAAAATCAGATAAAGGCCCCGTCTGTGAAAGGAAACAAATTGGCAAAGAAACGAGAACTTTTATCATCTGTAGATCGTTAAACCATAGAAAAGGCAGAAAATCGTTGGAACACGGTGCTGGGGTGGCAGTCTTCAGCCCTCACACACCAACTGCATTCAAAATAGACGAGGAGCTGTAAAATTCATGGGCCCAGAAACTGAAAACCAGTATGGAAATTCGTTCTGTGGTCTGCTGAAGCAAATGTAAAAGTTTTCTAGGAAAACGTGAACTAAATCCTCCCAGCTAAAAAGGAAAAGGGAACCATCTGGCTTTTAAAAAATCAGGAAACGATGGAAGAGCTGCGATGGTGTGAGGGTGCGTGAGTGACTTCAGCTCATAGAACAATCGTGACTCCACACAAAAAAACAACAAACAGGTTTCTCAGAAATGGACGGCTGCCCTTCAGGCTGCAGGGTTCAACATCTCCTGCCTCCTCGGACCATCTGTTAGCACTCAGAGTCTGGGAGGCGAGTCCTCAGCTACTACCACGCCCAGTTTTACCTCAATATCTGACAAATGGAGGGAGTTTAAGTCTTTTTCATGCAGCTGCAACCACCACCTTAAATCAGTTGACGTCCATCTAACGGTCACTTTCTGAGAGTTTCATAGGATATTTTGCTAACAGACAACAGGCATGCAAACACGTGGCAATCACATAATCTAACAAACACTGACGGTAAATAACGAGGCGATCCAACATACCACAGTGAGAACTTTTTGTTTCTGGCATTCTTTTGAACGAATTAAGCTTATTTTATAAAATAAAACTATTTTGTTGTTACTAATTGCAGTGACAATTTTTCAAGTTTGAAAAAGACAAAAATAATCAACTTTTTTATTCATAATCCAGACGAAAAGTCAGCATTAAAAACAAGGTCATAAAGTGAGGAATGCTGCCGAGTCAGAACATTGTGAGCCTTGTGTTTATTTTCATATTTATTTCATTCCTGCCGGTTTGAACACAACATAGTTTTGTTTGCTCTCATCACATTCACGTGCACTAATTCTTGCATTTTAGGCCAACCACGCGTTAAATGATCCGAGGAAGCTGAGCTGAAGGGAACTGCCCCTATTGTTGCTCCTCATCCGAGAACCCGAACGTAATTGGCACAAATAAAAACTGATTTTAAACTAGAGAAATGGCATTTCTTGCGAAATGCAGTGTGAATGATTATTGCAAAATAACTTGCTAAAAAATGGCTGAAATTAGCTAAAAATATGCAGAAATGTAGCTGAAATCAAAGAGCATGCCTAAATTAGCAGAAGAGAAAGAACACTTTGCTGAATTAGGTTTGAATAAGAAGAAATTAGTAAAAAAAAAAAAAAAAAAGGAAATTAGCTAAACAAGCTGAAATTAGCAAAATAGTAGCTGAAAAGTCAGAAAGAACCTTAAACTACCAGAAGAAAGCAGAAAGAGCTGAAATGAGCTAAACAAGAGGAATTAGCTGAAAAAGCTAAAATTCACACAAAACTGCTAAATAGTTGCTAAAAAAGTAGAAAAAGTTAAAACTTGCAGAAATAAGCAGAAAGGAGCAAAACAAGCTGAAATTAGCATATGTAAGTTAATTAGGCTGAAAGTAGCAGAAATTACTTTTAAAAACTTGAATTTGTCTGAAAAAAGCTGAAATTAGCTAAAAAATGCTAAAAAAAAGTAGCTGAAAAGGTAGAACAAGCTTAAATTAGCAGAAAAAAGCAGAACACATTTGTCCAATTAGGCTGAAAGAAGCAGAAATGAGCACAAAAAGTGGAAATTATCTGAAAAAAGCTGAAATTAGCACAAAAAAACTTCTGCAAAGTAGCTAAAAAAGCAGAATGAAGCTTTAATTTCCAGAAGGAAGTGGAGAGAGCACATTTTTGCAGAATTAGGTTGAAAAAAGTTGAAATTAGTGCAAAAAATGTAGAATTAGCTGGCAAAGCTCAAATTAGCATAAAACAGCTAAATAACAGTAGCTGAAACAGCAGAAAAAGCTGAAACTTGCAGAAATAAGCTGAAAGGAGCATAACAAGCCAAAATTAGCAGAAAGAAGTTAGAAGAAGCATAAAATTGTTGTAGTTAGCAGAAAGAAGCTGAAAGAGCACAAAACAGCTGAAAAAAAACCCCAGCTGAAATTAGCTGAAAGGAGCTGAAGAAAAAAAGTTAAAATTTGCACAAGGAAGCTGAAAGCTGAACCAGCATAATGTGAAAGGAGCTAAAAAGGTTGTAAACAGATCTAAAGATCTGAAGGATGTAAAATGAGCAGTCACAGCAGGATTTTCTTGAAAGAGCTGAACGTTTTGAACTTGTGGAACGAGAAAGATGCTGAAAAACGTACAGAAGAACAATGGATCACAATATAGTGACTTCAACATTCACACAGTAAAGAGTGGCGTTGGTGTTTTAGGACTAAAAGGGAAAGAGATGCAGTTATTTCAGTCGGTATCAAAGTAATGAACTGAATCCACACTTGTAGACACTTTTACTTTGGATTCCCTTGGTCTCAGCATTTCATTTTTCCTCTCTCCAGCGTATTTAATTCAAACAAACAGTAAGACACGTTGACTGAACGAGGCAGTCAGCTGAACACGCTCTGCAGCTGCCAACAGCCCAGCTTGGGTTCATCTGGGACGAGCCTCTTTAATTAAAGCTTAACGGCTAAACAAAGTATCTCGTTTCTCCAAACTCACAAAGAATGACTTCGTGTTGCACCTTCCAGGCACCGACTTGTTTTCTCAGAATAACCTTGAAATGTTTTTTTTCTCTTTTCCTCGACACCGAGGGAGGACAACAGTCACTCTCCTTTTTCCCAACTGCGCCCATTTCTCGGTAAATTCTGGGTATGCTGCGTGATTAAACAGGAAAAGTCAGATTCAGATTATAAGCAAGCATGTGGCCTTGTGTTGGGTTCTGCAGACAGACTGTCAACAAGAAGAAGAAGAAAACCTTCATGTAGTGAAAACTAACAGTCAAAGCATTTACATGAAAATATTTCTGCACGTGGTGGGAGGTTCCACTTTGAAATACTAATGGAAAAAAGATTTACAAGAATATTTCACTCTAGAGGCTGTTTTTCTTCAAATCCGCAGCGAGCTTGACGTTTATTATAAGACTTATAATTACACCTTTTATAGGATAGTAAACTTGCTAAACAGCAGCTGAGAGTTTTTCATAAACCAAGAAGATTTAATAAGAATAAAACTCATTTAAAGGTTGATTCCACAGTGATCATGTTGGGAGAGCTTCTGAGCAGAACCTAAATGTTTTGTTGTTGTTGTTTTTAAGTGAAACATGACATCATCATCTGAGCACAAAAGAAAGCTAACTTTGTCATCTTGTTATAAAGCACAGACGGCTGCGTTCTTTGGCACAACTTTGGCTCAATTAATAATAAACCAAGCCGAACGTGTCAGGTTGGTCTAACGCAGACAGAATGTCGATCTTTGTTATCTTTAAATATTAAATAAGAACATCCTGCAGGCTTGTGCATTCATTTAGCAAACAATCACAAGACCCTTGTTAGGACAAGTGTTTGACACGTGCAACACTTTTGCATTTAGCAGACGATTAAAGTGGCCCACATTTTTTTATTTCCCAGATTTAACCCGAAGCAGGAATGATTAGTTGTTAACTATTAGCTGCTGCTCAATAAACTCTTTGACGTCATTCATTGACCCCGAGACGAAAAATAACTGCGTGTGTGGACATTGAAAAGGAAGCTGTCAGATCTTATTTGCATTTTTATTGACGTAAATTAATTTAAAATGTGAATATTTGGACACTCCAAATGCAGGAAGCTCCTAAGGGGAGCTAAAGTGTGAACTCTTCCTTTACCTCAGGTTTATGGCTTTCTAGGATTGTCCTTATGAGTGCATTTATTTGTTGGAGCATTCGCTCAGAAACATAAAATGAAACGCATGTGCAATAAAAACAAACTCTTGTTTCTTTTTTTAAACAAAAGCACAATTGAGAAAACGTTTTTTTTTTTCTTCGTGTGAGCCAGAAAGGCATATTTGTTCAGCGGCATCCAGCAGAGATAAAGTCCACAAGACTTCTTAGAAAACAAACTCATTCCAGGATTCCTGGGAAAACTCTCCTCTTTGAGAGCAGCAGCACTTTTTTTTCTCTTCGGTAAAAAACAAAAAAACTGTCTGTGGTTCTGATCCAGCATGTGGTGTATCAAAAACACTACAAAAAAAGAGATGGTTCAAATTATAGAGCGGGGAGAAAGGTTTTGAAAAGCTTGGCCCTGAACGCCCCTCAGACTTCTAACAATCCAGGGAAGCCAGCACGTTAGTTTGGTCCAGTAAATGTGGTGGGTACCTACTGTGGAGGGCGCAGAAATCCAAGACCTTTAAGCAAATGTGAGAGACAAGTGCCACTTTAAGTAGTCTAAAGCTACACTTTCCTAGATAGAGAAGGTGAAATTAAAACAGAACAGCTCTGTAGTTTAGCCTATGTCACAAAAACAACTTTAGGATAAAAGCTCTGAACCTCCACGAAAAGCTGCAGCCGTATTTTTCCAAACAGGATCGAGGGAAATCTATATTACTGGAAATAGCCTGTGTGCATTCCTATTATCTTTAATGCCGAGGCGGCGAGTTTCCCAGAATGAGGGCTCTGTCAGGGCCGCCCGGCGGGGCGGAGTCAAGCCCCGCAATAATTCCTGGAAAGCCAGTAGGCAGAAGCTGCCGCGCACGCGCTGACGATTCCTGGGAGAGAGAGAGAGAGAGAAAGAGAGAGAGAGAAAGCGCACGCGTCGCTTTTCAGCGAAGCCTACTGAAGCACAAGCCGCGCGTCCGTCCAGGTAAAGACGGACGTGATTCAGGGAAAGCGGCAGGAGCGGCAGGCGCGGCGGCTGTGACGTCAGAGGCAGAGCCGGCGCAGTTCCGAGAAGCGACTTCTAGGAAACGGTAAATTTTAAAAGCCAAGCCTTTAGCCTCCGTCCTTCACACGTCTGGATCCCATCCTGGCGACAACACACTCCGACGCTGCTGTGGAAACCTCAACGTTTCACAGCTTATTAGTATTATTTTTATATTTTTATTTACCTTTTACATCCAGAGTCGCTATTTTTTTTTTTAACCAGATCAGCGACACACGACAGGATATTTTCCCGGCTCTTCGTGTCTTTGTGGCGCCTTCTCATGTAAAACCAACCCTACAAGCTCTTTTTATTTAAACATAACATAAAAGCTGCTGTTTCCGAGCTTCTCGTATGGTTTGGTTATTATCTGAGGAGCAGATCTAACAGGATTTTTTCCCCTTCAAGAGGATTTATTAGTATGATTCTTTGTGAACGCGGGTGAGTAGACTTCTCTTTGTCTCCTTGAATTTCATGTCAGTTTGGGGCTTATCAGAAGACAAATCCACCCCATCGATGACGTTATAATAACAACTCATTTCCGTGCATAATTTGGCTTCTGCCCTGAAATAAAGTCTAAATTATAAAGATAAAAGGCCCAGAGCAAAACTGAAGTAAAATGACTTCTAGTGAACGATCAATACAAACAGAGTACTTGGATTGTTTTGGAGCGCCTTATCAATAAATAAGATCACAACACAAACAAGAAACAGTGATTGTCGTCATGGGTGGGGGGTTGTTTAAATCTAATAATGTGATTAAAGCTTGCTGTGTTTTGGACTGGTTTATAATATAGATTAATTTATGCTTTCCTCTCATTTCCAGTCCCAGGACTCTGAACACTGAAGGCCCCCGGGGTATGAGGGACGGAGCCATCCCCCCTGCCTCTTGCCTTCGAAGCACATCTCAAGTATGGGACCCCGTAAAGGAGCTGACAGCAATTGGCCTGAACCTGTGCTATCTAGAAAACTCAGGTACTGAAATGAGACTTTAAAGTGTTTTTATCTGAATGTCCCCCTCCTCACTGGTTAATTCCTGGTATGGGCTCAATCTGTTGGACGTGCTTCTACTCGAGTCTGCTTCAGGCTGCTGTGTGTTTATTTAGTGCAATTCTGTATTTCAACAATGCTCTTTTGCATTTCTGTGGAGTCAAACTTTTAAAAGCAGCCATCGTTTGGTGAAAGACCCAAAGACTAACATTTAGGGGTGTGTGTGTGTGCAGGATGGTACTGGGGAGCTCTAACGGCAGCTCAGGCCCACGCTGCCCTCCAAGGAGCATCAGAGGGGACCTTTCTGGTACGGGACAGCAGCCACCCCATGTACATGCTCACCCTGACGGTCAGGACTGCACGTGGCCCCACGAGCATACGGATCCAGTACAGTGACACCCGCTTTTTACTGGACGCCAGCTCCCCAGCCCGTTCCAGCCTCTCGTCTTTCCCCGACGTGCCCAGCTTGGTGCAGCACTACATGGGCGCGGAGAGGAAAGCGGAGGAGCAGAAGGTGAAGGAGGAGGAGGATTCGTGGAAACCGTCGGAGCACACGGTTCAGGACATGCCCGTGGTGCTAAAACTGAAGCGTCCGGCGTACATATCCTGGAGCCTCCCCTCGTTACAGCACCTCACACGCCTCGTCATTAACCGACACACCGACTGCCCAGACGAGCTGCCAATCCCCCGACCCATGCAGCGTTATTTAAAGGAATATCCCTTCAAGGTATGAAGAGGGGGTGGGGGGCAGTGGATCGGACCTCGTTTGGCTGAATCTCAGCTTATTTAAGGGAAGAAGAAAAAAAAACTATCAAACAGGTCATTCGTGCCTGTGGAGGCCAGTCACAAGAAAATGTTTCTGACAGAAAACAAACTTCAAGTTCAGACTGACGTGTTGAGGCCCGGGTGGAAACACAGTACTGTAACGGTAATTACTTCAAAAGAAGAACGTGGAGTTTAAACATCACAACTTCTGTATATACGTATTGTTTCTAAGAAATACACTGACTTCGTTGAGACATATTTTATGTCATTTTATTTGTTTTCTCAGCAGAGCATTTTGTACTTTTTACATGTGTAAATATTTCTATTAAAACAAACAGTTTGAACAAACGAAGTTGCCATCACGTATGCACGTCTTTTTGATTCCGTCCGGACCGCTTTCTGCTTCGCAAACCGCCACGAACGATCACATGCCGGCTGCTCTCGTGACGCCTGTTGCGAAATGTTTTCACCACAAATCACCTTTGAAACACAAAGACTCTGTGGCCTTTGAGCTTTTTTTTAATTTTTCGAGAGGAAAGCAGATTGTGTGGGGAAGTGAAAAGGCCACGTTGCGAGTGTGCGCGAGCGTTTTGCTCAACAATGCATATGGCCTGCATCTGAGTCAGCGGGGTGGACAAGCGGAGGGGAGGACCATTCATCAGCCGATTCACAGAACTACTGAATGCTTCCTGGGAGGAGTGAGGCGGATTCTGAGAGGGAGCGTTCTAAGAAAAGCTTTGGTAATTACCTTCAGGTCTGAGTCTGCTTTTGTGCCGTAGTGCACACATTTTTATTATGAGACGGGGTGTGATCACATGTGTAACCAGGTGAAAAGTGCAACTGTGAGATGAGGAGTATTTGACATTGTGCCAGTTGTAGATTTTTTTGTTTTGTTTTGTTTATGGGGGGGATCTTATTAGGGCCTGCTTGGTGGCTCGGTGGGGGTGGGGGCAGCAGAGGCGACCTGAGCTAAAGCCAGTGTAATAGGATCTCAGTTTCTCAATCCCGATCCAGTTTGACATCCTCGTTTGACTTCTTTCTGCAGGATGCAGAATCGTGGTCTAAATAAACAAACCAAAAAAGGTGACACAGATATGAAGGATGCAGAAGCTTAAAAAAAAAAAATCACCATGTTGGATTTTCTACACACACAGACCTGCCGCTGACGTCGTGTCGCGTTTCCAAGTACTGCAGCTCTTCCACGTTCGCCTCCACCCACCGTCGAATGAGCGGGGGGTGCCTAGGGTCCACCTCCAAGTAAACACGACTGTTTATCAAGGGGACGGATGACACAAAAGGGATTAAAATTTAATTAAAATGAAGGGACAGGATTATCAGAAGTGACCTTGAGATGAGCGCATGTGCCTGGAACTGGATTCGCGAGAAGACTCTCAGAAAAGCTTAACTCGTTAAAGACGCAACACGATACTTGTGTTTTTTTTAAGAGCTCGCTGCTCCCGGGACAAGTCGCCACCGCCATTAGGGATTAATCCCAGGTGTGCGTGTGTGTGGACACACAAACAGTGTGACTTCTTACCCTTGATTTAACAGGATGAGTGGAGCTAGAGTTAAAATCTGTTTGATCACATTTAGGCCATCTTCACCTCCGTCTAAAGCAGCAGGATCTTCGTATCTGCAAGCAAAACAGTATGTGAGTGTAATGAAGTCACAAGATGCTATATTTAAATTAAAAAAACAATCTGAGAGGTATATGATGCATTCAGACAAATTATTCCCACTTTTTTGTATTTCTAAAGGTAGATTACTTTAAAAAACAAATTAATTATTTTAAATAAAGCTGCATAATATATTCAAACTTTATTCTATTGCATCATTATTTTATGTCATATCATTAATGAAAACAATTGCATTAAAGTGCAGACAAAAAAAGAAATTAATAACATATTTGGCAATCATGGGTTTAAGATGCCCACAGCTGACAGGAGTGAGAGAAGAGAAAAAGTTTCAACTCATGTTATCAACAGAAGTTCAATTGTTCTTTTTTTATTTTTCCTTAATACAGCAGTCTTATTATGAAGCATCATTTCTCTCCAAAAAACAAATCTATTTAATTTCATCACATACTTTCCATTCAGCATGGACAAAAACATTATCATACAGACTAAACAAGAAACAACCCATATATTTGCACAATAACAAATACACTAGTCCCTTGCTACTTTGTAGTTCGGGGACTCGCTCGATCACGGTTTTTGAAAATAAGATTGGACATGACACACAATTGGCTGATTGATGGATGAGCCGCACGATCGGCGTGGAATTTTTATTTAAAATAAATTAGTTTAAATTATTTAGCACCTGCTGCACCTCTGTGCAGCCCACACTGCAGGAGACGCTTCCTCCTGCAGCGGAGAAGTGGGCGTGGTCGAGAGCTGAAATCGCTCTTTTAGAGCGTTTAGAGTTTAGAAACATTGTTTAGAACATTGGAAGAGTGTAGGAAGTGTTTAAAACGCCTTTATTGGGCAAAAATCCAATATTATGCATCCCTAGTGTGTATACATATATATATATATATATGTATATATATATATAAAGTACTACTAGTCCTACCACGCAGTTTTTCACTTGTCGTTGGGCTTCTGGGTACGGATCCCCCGCAATAAATGAGGGACTACTGTACTTTAATTATAAGAAAACAGAGTTTGATCTATTGATATATTTTCTACTGCACATAGTTGTTTTGTTCTCAATCTATGAAAATATAATATCAGGTTGTTTTTGCACAAACCACAAGACAGAGTCTACATTTATCAGACGAGGTGAAACGGTAAATTCAACTCCAACAAAAACAACATTTTTAACTGAGGCTGGTCAAGCTACCAGTAATTAAATTTTACTGTGTGTTTGATTTACGGATATTCATTTATGGTTCCAAAAGAGTTGGTTGATCCATCCGTGGATCGTATTAATCTTAAGTTTTTTTTTCCCGATGTGTCTGAGTTTTAGAAGCATAAGCACGAGACGATCAAACTATTCAAAGAGCAGTCAAACTAACAACAATCCGTGTCGTAGACGGCGTTCATTATGTCAACAATGCTGATTCTCAGAAAGCCGTTTCCTCACATTGTGTTTGAGTGAGTAATACAGTAAGACGAGCAGCGCATGACAAAGTGTGGTGTAAAATTCCACTGATGTGATGCTCTGAATGAAAAACAGCTTGAGTCCGGGGTTTTTTTTTCCCCTCCGAGTGCAACCGTACGATCTCCTCTGGCAGGCTGTGTTTTCAGCCGACTTCGAAGCGAAGCAGCCCCGCACATTCCTATAAATCAGGCCAAACGAGTGCGCGTGTAAATATTTTTAATATGACAATGATGAAAATTCAACGCCCTCCCGGTTGTTTGCACAGCCTTTCCGCAGGTTTTAAAGCTGTCGGGCACGTTTCCGACCAACTTATCAAACAGTAACTAATCTGAGGAAATCATTGAGTGAAAGTAGACGTTTGACAGGGAATCTGTAATAAAACTCAAATCGACCCAGCTGAACTTTACCTTAGAGCGGAGCCTTTTTAATCATTGACGGACGGCGAACGGAGAAACGAAACAACACTTTTTGTTTGCTTTTCTCTCACGCTCCCAGATGTTTTCTTAATCCTGAGCGTAGATACAATTCTTATGGCTGATTACAAAACATAAACTAAACATCTTTAAAACTTATGTGCCAATAAACCATAATGGCAAACGATGTCCTGTGAGTTTAAAGAGATAGTTCAGATCTTTTAAAGAGGAGTTATAAGGAAAGGTTATAAACACAAGTTTTATTGTTGTAGTGAAACACTCTCGGTTTGGAGAAAAACAGCTGCGTTTTGACCCAGTTGATGAGCTAACAGATAGTTCAAGAGGGACCAAGCCTAACATGAATTGTCTTAAAACAACCTCAGTTTCAAAACGTTCATGTCATCTCATGCAAGCACTACTTTATAAACTTTTAGGCTGCTGTCAGTTTCACTTTACATGGTTATTCTGGCAGAAATATCCATGTTGGAAGAAGTTCAACTTAATTTAATTTAAATATTTTTCAGTCTCGATTCACTTTTATAGTTTTCCCTTGTTCAAATTATTGTCTAATTATTTGTCATTCTTTACGCAGCCCATGTAAGCATGACTCAGCATATTTTCCTGTGTGCTGTACTTGTAGAACTAGACATGTGACAAATAAAGAATCTTGAATCTGGAAGTGCCCCGGGCTACACGGGAAATACTACTTGGGCAGCACGACGGCTTAGTGGTTGGCACTGTTGCCACACAGCAAGAAGCTTCTGGGTTCATTCTCCAGTTTGGACCTGGGGTCTGTCTGTGTGGAGTTTGAAAGATCTCCTCAAGTTTGTGAGTGTTTTCTCTGGGTACTCCGGTTTCCTCTCACAGTCCAAAACATGCTAGGCTGCCTAACAGAGATCTGTGATCTTAATTTGCCTGGTTAAATAAAGATACAGTAGTCCCTCACTACTTGGTGGTTTGATTTTTGCGGACTCGCTTTATCGCAGTGTTTCAAAGTAAGATTGGACATGACGCACAATGGCTGATTTATGGATGAGTCGCACGATGGGCATGGATTATTTTTTAATTTAAAGTCAATTATTTTAAATGATTTAGCACCTGTGTGCAGCCCACAGCTGTAGGAGAAGCTTCCTCCTGCAGATGATCAGCTGATCTCGAGTGGAGAAGTGGGCGTGGTGGAGAAGTGGGCGTGGCCGAGAGTGCAGCCAGAGGCAGAGAGCTGAAATCATGACATTCTGTGCTCTTTTAGAGCGTTTCAAGTTTAGGAACATTGTTTAGAATATTGCAAGATTTAGGATTTAAAACGCCTCCACACATATATATACATACATAAATACATACATACATACATACATACATACATATATATATATATATATATATATATATATATATATATATATATATACACATATATATATATATATATATATATATATATATATATATATATATATATATACACACTAAAATAAACTACTACTTACTACTTGCACTACTATTCTTACTTCACGGTTTTTCACTTATCACGGGGCTTTAGGGTATGGATCCTACGCGATAAACCAGGGACTACTGTAAATAAATAAATAAATACTATAGCTAGCTGTTCTTGCAAATAACCACCAAAATATATTATTTTTAATCATGGCAGCAAGCCACTTTGGTCTTGACTCTACTTGAATTAGCCGTTTTCACATCACTTCATCAGAACTTCATCTGTTCTTCTCCAAACTGAGACTAAGAGACATCTACAACAGGTAAGATATTGTTTAAACCCTTCCACAAAACCACATTTACCCCCCCCCCCCCCCAAATATTCCTTTACATTGGCCTGTGAAATATTTAAATAAACATTTTAGAAACTCTGCTTTAGATTGTCCTGATGCATGCTCAATAATCCAGGAAAATAAATCTAACAAGATAGAACCAGGTCCTCTGAACAGGTTCTTTGGATCTTCGGACGGATTGTGAAGAGAACCCGTCCATCATTCACTGGGGTGGAGGCCTCCGTGTCCAAATGTCACCCTATTATTATTATTATTTCTAGTATCACTCAGCCCTCTGTGGATAGCAAGCGGCCATCAGGGCACTAACGGTCAGTCGTTAGTCTGCTGGCCCTTGTTTAGAATGTGAACAACTAGTTACGGATGTTACCAGCAGACTGGCTGATCCACTAAGAGAAGGTGCTGTTTTTAAGACTGAGCTTGTTGCAGCTCGTCAAACCGACGAAGTCTTTTGGACAAAAGACGAAATATTTCAACAAAAAAGAATCCGTCCAGAGGACCTGACTATGTAAAATGACTATGTAGATTATGTAAAAATTGGGTTAAAGATTTGTATTTATGCATACATATTCCAAGTGTATGAGAACAGCTCCATGCCTAAATCAGTAATAATAAAAGTAAATGATTGCAAAAATCTATTGAACAGTTCTTTACAATGCCAAAAATACAAACAAAAGTTGTTTAGATAGAGGATGTTTTTAGTCACCTATAAATTTCCGGCTCCAGTGACGCCATATCCTCTGAAAACAGGTATGGTGGGTTACTGACCAAAGCTGAAACTGACCCACAGATGCTAAACACGGTTTCTGCATCTGGAAAAAACACAACAATAAAAAGCAAAAACCTGTTTTAATCAACAGTGTGTTGGTGTTTGTTGGTCAAAAACACTGGATGTTGGGTGGATTTTCCTACATACTTTTCAGCACATCAACGTGATAAATCTGTAATCTGTCCTGAAGCCCCAACCTGATGAGGAAACTCTTGTCAACCAACAAAGCTTACAAAAAAAAAAAACCATTGACTAAACAGAGAAAGACCAAGTCAAGTTTCCAACAGTTACAACATGTTTTCTACACGTCGTGACACAATTACCTCAACGCGTTCTCTCTGGTTAAATCAACTGCATCCTGGCTTCGATCCAAGGCAAAGACTTGGAGCTGGGCAAGAAAAAAAACAACAAACATTTAAAAAAAAGCATAAGGAATTAAACCTGTTCTTTTCTCATTAACCATTTCGGACACTGTTTCTATTTGTTTGGATGAAATCAATCAGAATCATTGACTTATGGCAACATGGCAATAACCTTTTACTGAACCACATGGATCAGAAAAACTGTGTTCGTCCATTTTTATTGGCTTTGTTGTTTGTTTGTTTTTCCAGCTATCTCCTATTTATACAAACCGGATTCCAAAAAAGTTGGGACACTAAACAAATTGTGAATAAAAACTGAATGCAATGATGTGGAGGTGGCAAATGTCAATATTTTATTTGTAATATAACATAGATGACAGATCAAAAGTTTAATCTGAGTAAATGTAACATTTTAAAGGAAAAATATGTTGACTCAAAATTTCACAGTGTCAACAAATCCCAAAAAAGTTGGGACAAGTAGCAATAAGTGGCTGGAAAAAGGAAATTGAGCATATAACAAACTGCTGGAAGAACAATTAACACTAATTAGGTCAATTGACAACATGATTGGGTATAAAAAGAGCTTCTCAGAGTGTCAGTGTCTCTCTGAAGCCAAGATAGTAAGAGGATCACCAATTCCACCATTGTTGCGCAGAAAGATAGTGCAGCAATACCAGAATGGTGTTACCCAGTGTAAAATAGCAAAGACTTTTAAGTTATCATCATCAACTGTGCATAACATCATCAAAAGATTGAGAGATTCTGGAACAATCGCTGTGCGTAAGGGTCAAGGCAGTAAAACTCTACTGGATGCTCGTGATCTCCGGGCTCTTAAACGTCACTGCACCTCAAACAGGAATGCCACTGTCAAGGAAATAACAGAATGGGCTCAGGAATACTTCCAGAAAGCATTGTCAGTGAACACAATCCATCGGGCCATCCGCCGTTGCCAGCTGAAACTCTACAGTGCAAGGAGGAAGCCATTTCTAAGCAAGCTCCACAAGCTCAGACATTTGCACTGGGCCAAGGGTCATTTAAAATGGAGTGTGGCAAAATGGAAGACTGTTCTGTGGTCAGATGAGTCACGATTTGAAGTTCTTTATGGAACACTGGGACGCCATGTCATCCGGACCAGAGAGGACAAGGATAGCCCAAGTTGTTATCAACGCTCCGTTCAGAAGCCTGCATCACTGATGGTATGGGGTTGCACGAGCGCTTGTGGCATGGGCAGCTTGCATGTCTGGAAAGGAACCATTAATGCAGAGAACTATGTTCAGGTTCTAGAACAACATATGCTCCCATCTAGACGTCATCTCTTTCAGGGAAGACCCTGCATTTTTCAACACAAGAATGCCAGACCACATTCTGCAGCAATCACAACATCATGGCTACGTAGGAGATGGATCCGGGTACTGAAATGGCCAGCCTGCAGTCCAGACCTTTCACCTATAGAGAACATTTGGCGCATCATAAAGAGGAAGGTGCGACAAAGAAGGCCCAAGACGATTGAACAGTTAGAGGCCTGTATTAGACATGAATAGGAGAGCATTCCTATTTCTAAACTTGAGAAACTGGTCTCCTCTGTCCCCAGACGTCTGTTGAGTGTTGTAAGAAGAAGGGGGGATGCCAAACAGTGGTAAAAATGGACTTGTCCCAACTTTTTTGGGATTTGTTGACGCCATGAAATTTGGAAACAACAGATTTTTCCCTTAAAATGATAAATTCTCTCAGTTTAAACTTTTGATCTGTGATTTGTGTTCTATTCTGAATAAAATATTAGATGTTGGCACCTCCACATCATTGCATTCAGTTTTTATTCACAATTTGTTTAGTGTCCCAACTTTTTTGGAATCCAGTTTTGTAGTTATTAATGCCAGCAGCCATGACAGGCAGGCAATAATGTGTTTTCCTGTGTGTGTTAATTTGCCAGTCTATTAGCAAAATATCTCAAGATCCCTTGAATGGATTGTAATAAAAATCGCAGAAAATCATATTTAAAAGGTATGTCTACAACTTTTGGCATCAAACTCATCCAAGATGGTCTATCTTAGCGAATGCAAAAATGATTTTAACTCAATTTTACATGTGGCGTGGTAGTAGCTCAGAGGCATTCCCAAAATATACAGATCACACACAAGTTCTTTGTTTAAAACTTTCACATGCTATCAGATAAAGCATGCTTTCTAGAAATCTTAAGTTTTGTTTAGACTAAAGTGATTTAATCACAAGTAAAAGCAACTTGGTTAAATTCTTGGAGCTGAAACTATGCTTAAAATCTGTGCAAAGTGCACATTTCTCTGTTTAAAAAACCCCCTCTGATAATTGTGTCATTAGCTGGTGTTAAAAACACTTTGAAAATGAGGTGCAGCCTTGCAGAAAAAGTTGTCTGCTAATCTTTGCTTGAAGGAAAAGGCAACAAGGGGCGCTCCTTACATAACCCCGCTGAACACACCCAACTAAACTGACAGGTTTTGGCAAAGGTGGAATGTGTGGGATTAAAATACGACACTTCTCCAACGCTGCTTCATGAGTCTCATATTCTTCTAGTCAAAGTGCTGTAATATGATCAAAATGCAAAGAAAACCTTGCTGGAAAACCACCAAGAACTGCTCACCATGTGGAGTTTGTTTCAGAAGTTTTGGAGGTTAAAGAAGCTGTTGGTTGGTTTCAGTTTATTCTTGTGAAATAGTTCAGATCTCACGGGAAGAAACAGGAAGTTGTCAAACTTTCAGGTTTGCAGACGAAAAACAAAAGCTTGGACCAATCAGCAGCAATAGTTTAGTCGCTGTTTTTTCATTCGATACGGTTGTTCGTAAAAGTCTACTGAATAAATCTGCAAATTGAAAATCCAAGACAGTGGACATATTATTTGGCCAAGAATAGTTTTGCCCCTAAAGGTGTGTCCCATCTGAGTGATCTTCATGTCAGTTTTGATGGATGTCTGCTTGGTGGATTGAATTTTCCCAGTTCTTGAAGCCTCCAGTACACATTTACAATACACATGTATTAAACCCGACAATGTAAAACATTATATCTCTTTTTGAAATGCAATACATGCTAGGCGTAATCTAATCTAATAGAAATGTTCCCGAGGGAACGAACATCAGTGATTTTGGCAGGGTTGTGCAATTTTAGGAAAAAGGCAATTGTGATATTATTGTTAAATATTGTGATAATCATATTAGTTGAGATAAACCTACATTTTTCTTTCCCCAAAACTGTCATCCTTCCTTTTCCTTGTCTGAATACTTAGGACTATAACAGCCTATGATTCATGGCAGCCCTTAACAACGCTGACACTGAACACACTGATTCTGCGATGGCAATAAAATATGAGAGTGTGAATGGTTGTTTGTCTCGTTTGTCTCTATATGTCCCGGTGATGGACTGGAGACCTGTCCAGGGTGTCCCTCGCCTCTCGCACAGTGACTGCTGGATATGGGCACCAGTGACCCCGGCGACCCATAAAGGAAGAAGCGGGTAAAGATAATGGATGGATGTTGCAGCCCTAGAGCTTGTAAATAAGTATTTGTTTTGTCAGTTCATTAGTTAGATGCTTAGAAATGTCAATGGATACGAGAAACATTAACGTAATGCTTGGGCCAATACATGCATAGACAAATATGGTTGAAGGAACAGAAGTAGGTCTTGGACAATCACCATCAGTGAGTTTGTTGAGTGGTTCATGAGATACTTTGATGACAGACAGACAGACAGGCTTGACTCTAACAGCTAATGCCAACGTTTTAAACAAAGACCTGGTGTGACTTGTTAGTACTTATAGTACGTGCTGATGATGATGCTTTTAGCTACCACCACACCTAATTTTAGATTATTATCTGTGAAAAAGCCTGAGTTACAGCTGTTTTGGTTTGCTAAGGTTAATTATCTGTGGCGGCTAGCTTCAGGTAAGTTAATCAGATGTAGATGTACACCCTGTGATAACTTTCAGGGAGTTAGAACAGAATGTGTCCTCTGGTTCAAGAGATGTTTTACTAACAAACATGCACAGAAACACATGACAGACCCTTGTAGCTCAATGAAAAAAAGTATTCATTTCTTGTGAAAGTGATTCAGTTAATAGATACTGTCAAATGTATATCTGCATGCCTTTAGTAAGTAATAAACAAAACGAGAAATGATTGGGTGTATATCTTACAAAGATATGCTAAAGTAGTACCAACAGATTTATTGATTCCCTTAAAGAGACTATTTTTGTGCAACAGTCATGGTTCAGACTGTTTGATTATATTTACAACACGGGCACTTTCAACTAGCCACTCTCCCAGAACATGGACGCAAGAAGAAATGCAACCCCAGGTTGATCAGACTGATAGAGTGGACAGAAGAAAAAGAGCCAAGCAACCCATTCAAAACCTGACCTGCAAATGTCAAGGTATGGTACTTTCTGCTCGCACCATCAGCCACTTTTGAATTCTGGGACTAATTTGACTAAACTGGAGCTTTTTGACAAATCAGAAAAGTTGTAATTTTATTTATTTATTTATTTTTGGGGGGGGGGGGGGGGGATACCAACAACTTTATCCACATACATGATCGCCCACTATTCATGGTATCATAACTATAACCTATAATACTATACTGTACTATACTATACTATATCTAACTATAACCTTCACATAAATGTGAAGACGACGAAGGAGGGTCGTGGACTTCAGACAAAGCAAACACACCTACCGACCCCCCCCCCCCCCCGAATATAGGAGGCTCTGCGGTGGAAGTGGTCTCCAGCACCTGAATGACAACCTCAGCAGGGGCAACAACACCACCAGCCTGATCAAGAAAGCTCATCAGAGACTCTACTTCCTCAGGCGGCTGAGACCAGCTGGACTGGGAAGCTCAGTCCTCACCTCCTTCTACAGGTGTGCAGTGGAGAGCATCCTGTGCTCCAGCATCAACGTGTGGCATGGAGGCTGCACAGCTGCAGAAAGAAAAGCTTTGCAGAGAGTGGTGAAGGCTGCACAGAAGTCTGTTGGAGTAAGCCTCGCCACCATCACAGAAATCTGCACCTCCAGATGCAGGAAGAGAGCCACCAGCATCATGAAGGACCCCACTCACCCAGCACACACATTTTTTGCTCCGCTCCCCTCAGGCAGGAGGTTGAGGAACATTAAGTGTAGAACCACTAGACTGAGGAACAGCTTCTACCCTGAGGCTGTTAGACTCATGAATCTCTGATCAGGATAATCACTGTGAAAAAAAATCACATCATGTTGCTGCTGATCAGTTTCATGTTGCTGCTGATCTGTTTCATGTTGCTGTGTAAATCGTGCTCATCTGCTCACAGACTCATGTTCGTGCTGCTGTTCAGTGTATTGTTTTTGTACTACTAGTGCTTAGTGTATTTTTAATAATGTTTTCTTAGTTCATATCTTAGATGTTATTGCTGTTTTTCTTTTTACATTTTATTGTTGGATGTAACTGGGACCATGTGTACACAATTTCATTCCACCACATGTACCACATGAGGTGCGAATGACAAATAAATAAACTTTGACTTTGATAAGCTGACATCTAAATATTTAATTAGTTCATGATATGTTTGATATGCCAAATAAGTAAAGCTGTGTTTCCAACCAAACATAATACGGTAACTATGCAACAAACTTATCATTTGGAAATGAAGGGAAAAAAGACCAAAAGGGGCCATCAAGAATATTTTTTATTAGATGTGCTTTAAATGCTTTAAGTCAATGTGGTGCTCTGGAAGCAAAATGTGCCAGAAAGAATGGAAAGGTAAAACCCAGGAGTCATTAGTCTGGACTTATCATCACTGGATGTATCATGTAACTCGTAAATCTTTGATACTGGCAGTAACATACAATTATCTCACCTGAGGCAGACTATTCAGCAGGCTGAGAGAAATGGCACCAGAACCACAACCCACTTCTACGCATGTCTGCTGAGGTTCTGAACTGACTCCAGGTCCAGATTTCCTTCGCAGATCTGTGAGCACAAGTTCGACCATCTCCTGCACCAAATCAATCATTAAACAGAACAGTTTTCATGATTTCTACAATTTATGACTGAGGGAAATGTTGTGTTTGTGACGTGAAGCCTGTTTCTAACCTCTGTTTCAGGTCTCGGTATGAACACAGGAGGCCTCATCTTCAGCGTCAGGTCTCTAAAGTCCCACTCCTCGATGATGTATTGCACCGGCATTCTGCGCATCATTGTGGGAGTATTCTTCAAAACATCCATCAAATGGGTCTGTGCACAGTGATTTACTGCATGTGGAAATTTACCTTGAAAGTCGTCTGGTGCAGAGCTGCCACACCTGCTCAGTCTCTTCTCTGCTGAGGAACTCATTTAACCTCTCCTGCTTGAGACTTTCCATCTGGGTAAAGAGCAGGAGGAAATACTTTTAGTTTGAAAGCAACTCTAGAAAGAAATCACAGTATATAAAGGAAATGTGAACTGCAGCTCACTGTTTTAGCTCCAAGCAGATGAGCGATGATGTAGCAGCTAGACTGCTCAGGCTCTGTAACACCTTTCTCCTCAAAGTGTCTCCTCCAAACATCTGCCGCTTGAAGGGCTGTGATCCGGCCTGCAGGTAGGGCCGGAGCGCTGCTTCTGAACTGGGAAAGAAAGCTCCAACCCCACTAAAAGCAAAACATTTGTGTTCCTTATTTATGAACCTGTTACCTCAGACAAATGTCGGCACTGAGTGTAAACAGACACTAAAAGAGGTGAGCTTCTTGAACTTTCGGTCAACATGTCAGCGGACACAGTCAAGGAGTGATTTACGATGCAAAAACTGTGATGGATTACTTTCTCTGTGCAGGGTTAAGTGACTCAGCGTGGTGAAAAGTTGTAGCTGAATGTTTTCAGTTGCTCGGTCAACAAATCACTGCTCAGTCTCTCGCAATCAATCTGCCACTCGGATTAATGAGGCGGTGAAATAAGAAAAGAAAAATGTGCCCAATCAACTAAAGTATAAAAACTATAGAGTACGATGATGATTCATAAACTCAAAAAACACTATGCTGATCCATTGCATATACGGGTAAGTTTTATTTGTGAGAATTTAATGTTAACGAGTTTTCTCGCTACACTGTAGTTTATATATACAGGTGCTGGTCATAAAATTAGAATATCATGAAAAACTTGATTTAGTTCAGTAATTCCATTCATAAAGTGAAACTTGTATATTATATTCATTCTTTACACACAGACTGATATATTTCAAACATTTATTTCTTTTAATGTTGATGCTTATAACTGACAACTAATGAAAGCCTCAAACTCAGTATCTCAGAAAGTTTGAATATTATTTAAGATCAATTTAAAAAAGGGGGGTTTATAGAAATGTAGTATGAACAGATGCTGAGATATATTCATCAATTAAAACGGATTCTTCATTTTTCTGGACTGGATGATGTCGTGCTTTTAATTTAACAGAAATGTGGACGTGAGACGTTAATTATCTTTGACTCACCAAGCGAGTGGGTCATTTATTAACAGAATCAAGTTTAACACATCACACATTTACATTAATTTGGCAGAATATGAAAACAACAACATAATTAATCAGCTTTACAACCAGGAAAACCATACGGCCATGATTTTCCGTTGCTTCACCACAGACATTAATGAAAACATCTGGATTAATTTTCTAGCAGAAAGGAGAGTTTAAAGATGGAAAATTGAGATTTATCTTACAGAGAGATGTGTGAGGGAATTTGTCTGTTTTAACCAGAACGTGCACGCTCCTTCGGAAATCAGCTTGTCCCAAACAGTACACTTTTGGTGAAGGTCGACTTTTACCTTTTCTGAAGATAGATCAGTTCCGGCGTGGAGTCTCACTTCCAACCACTGTTCAGCGTCTCAGTGAGAACAGCCAAATACCTCGAGAGCCGTGCGAGGTTATCCAAACAGAAGTTATAATTCCCAAAATCGTCTCTGGTTCAGCTTGATTGGTTTAGCAGCATCCATGAATGCCTGCGTTTGCATTCATGAACTCCCAAACTCTCTGCATTCTGGATTCCAAAACTCTTGAACTCTTCTGCTCTCTTGCTTGAACTGCTGCTCCATCTTCAAGACTGAGCTTACAGCAGCTTCAAGACTGAGCTGAACTCTCTACCAGAACTCTTCTGGAACTCTTCTTTTTGAACTAGGAAGTGCCAACCTTTTTATGAAGGGTCACTTCCGGTTCATTTGAGAGCTTTTTGATTGGTGGATGGACCAAAGCAGAGGTGTGGTTTGTGATGTAAGGTGTTATTAAAAGTCAAGGAAAAGATTCAAATTGTTTAAGAACAGACAGAAAGATTGTTGGAGAAAACCAGTCTTCGTGGAGCCACCTCTCCTGTATCTCGCTGTAAAAGTTAAACATGACATTTCTTTTCAGTAAACTTTCTAGTTGACCGAAGCTTGAACTTTAACACACTTACAACTTTGCTCATTGAAGACAGAAAATCAAGAAATGCATATTAACCTGATTTCTTCTTTGAATGAGGAT